GGCAACCAATCCGTGTGGCTATTTCTCTCTCCCCCTCCTCCCTCCTTTCCATTCTCTATAGAAATCAATGGAAAAATACCCTTGGGTGAGGATTAAAAAAAAAAGAAAGAAGAAGAAAAGAAGTATGAGTTTTCTGGCTAAGTTCTCCTTTTTCAAGATTGTTTTGGCTGTTTGTTATGGAGTCACTCAAGAGTCCATATGAATTTTAGAAGGGGTTTTTCTATTTTTGCAAAAAATAATGTCAATGGGGTTTTGATAGAAATTCCATTGAATATGTAGATTTGGGTAGCACTGACATCTTAGCAATATTGTCTTCCAATCTTTGAGCATAGGATGTGTTTATGTAATCTTTAATTTTTTTTCAGCAATGCTTTTAAATTTTGATTGTATAGTCTTTTATATCCTTGGTTAATTCCTAAAAATTTTATTCTTTTTCATGATAATGTAAAATGAAGGTGCTTCCTAAATTTCTTTTTTGGATTGTGTGTTGTTAGTGTATAGAAATGCCACTGATTTTTGTGTGCTGACTTTGTATCCTGCTACTTGGCTGAATTCATTTATTCTAAAAATTGTTTTGTGGCATCTTTAGGATTTCCTACACATTAGATCATATCATCTGTGAACAGAGACAATTTTACTTCTTTCCTTCCAATTCGGATGCCTTTCCCCCCCTTTTTCTTGACTAACCACTCAGGCTAGAACTGCTAGTACTATGTTGAATAGAAATGGCAAAATTGACATCCTTGCCTTGTTCTTCATCTTTGGGAAAATCTTGAAGTCTTTACCACAGATACAATTTTATTTATCCATTCATCTGTTGATAGACACTTGAGTAGCTTTTACTTTTGACTATTGTGAATAATGCTACTATCTATGAACATAGATGTCTAACTGATTTTTTAAAATTTACATATCAAAAATTCATTGCTAATATACAGAAATATAATATTGGCCTTGTATCCTTTACCTTCCTTAAAATAATTTCATATTCTAGGGACTTTTTGTAGATTTCAGTAGATCTTAGAATTTTATATGTAGACAATCATGTCATCTGTGAATAAATATCATTTTCCCTCCTCCTTACCAATGCTATTTCTTACTGATCTTAGGGGAAAACTTTCAGCTTTTCACCATTAAGTGTGATGTTAGCTGTAGTTTTTTTTTTTTTTATAGATGCCCTTAACCGGATTAAGAAAGCACCCTCTGTTCGCAGTTTGCTGAGAATTTTTATCATATATACATGTTGAATCTGTCAAATACTTTTCCCTCATCTATTGAAATATGATCCATCTTCTTTAGTCTTAGTCTGTCAATATGATGAATTATATTGATTTACTTTGTAATGTTCAAACCCATTTGGTAAAGATGTCTTACCTTTTTATATATTGTTGGATTCGATTTACTAATATTTGATTGAGGATTTTAATGTATATATTGATGAGGTATATTGGTTGTTAGTTTTCTTTTCTTCTAATATCTTTGGTTTTGATATCTGGGTAATGTTGGCCTCATAAAATGAGTTGTAAAGTGTTCTCATCTTTTCTATTTCTGGAAGAGCTTGGGTAGAATTTGCCTTTGAAACAATCTGGGCCTGGAGTTTTCTTTGTTGGAAGATTTTTTTTAAGAGTTCAATTTCTATAGTATATCACTTTCTTCTTGAGTTTTGGTGTTTTGTGTATTTCAATTAATCAGCAGACTTTATCTAAATTGTTGAATTTATGGCATAGAGACATTGCCTTATTTTCCTTTTAATATCTATTATTATCTGTAATGATATCCCATTTTTCATTTCTGACATTATAACCTATGTCTTCGCTTTCTATTTTGGTCAGTCTGCCTAAAGAGCTGTCACATATATTGATTTTTTCAAATAACTAATTTTTGGTTTATTTTCTATTTGTTTTCAATTATACTAATTTCTTATCTTGCTTATTTCTTTTATTCTGCTTTCTTTGAGTTTAATTTGCTCTTTTTCTAGTTTTTAAAGTGGAATCTTAGATTATTTACTTGATACTTTCTCTTTGGTTCTACATGTTAGAGATATGTTAATTTCCAAATATCTGTGTTTTCAGATATCTTTGTTATTGATTTCTATTTTAAGACCATTATGGTCAGGGAATATCCACTGTATAATTTTAACTCCTGTAAGGTTTTAATTTTTAATGTCACAGAATATGATTTATTTTGGTGAATGTTCCACTTGCACTTGAAAATAATAAGTATTTTGTTACTGTTGGCTAGAGTGGCCTATAAATGTCAACTAGGTCAAGTTGATAGTGTTGTTCAGGTCTTCCAGATCCATGCTGATTTTCATTCTACTTATTATTCTGTTGATTATTGAGAAAGAAGTTATGATGTCCCCAAATAGAATTGTGGGTTTGTCTATTTCTTTTAGTTCAGTCAGTTTTTGTCTTGTGCTGTTTGGTACTCTGTCATTGGGGGCATCCCTATTTAGGATTGTTCTGTCTTCTTGGTGAATTGATCCTTGTACCATTATGTAACGTCCCTATTTATACCTGGTCATTTTCTTTGTTCTGAAGTATTCTTTGTCTGCTATTAATATAGCCACTTCTGCTTTATTTTGATTAGTGTTAGGTTGATATGTATTTTTCCATCCCTTTAATTTTAATCCATCAATATGAGGAGCAAGCAAACTTTTTCTATAAAGGGCCAGTAAGAAAATCTTTGTCTTTGTGGCCACATATGATCTCTGTCTCCTCTTCCTTCTTCTTTTCTTCATAACCCTCACAAAATATTTTTTTAAATTTCTTTAAAACAGGAGATGGGCCCTAACTGATTTGGCTCAGTGGATAGAGTGTCGGCCTGCGGATTGAATGGTTCCAGGTTCGATTCCAGTCAAGGGCATGTACCTTGGTTGCAGGCACATCCCCAGTGCGGGGTGTGCAGGAGGCAGCTGATCGATGCTTCTCTCTCATTGATGTTTCTAACTCTCTATCCCTTTCCCTTCTTCTCTTTAAAAAAAAAAATCAATAAAAATATATAAAAAACAAACAAAACAAAATAAAAAAACAGGAGATGGACTGGCTTTGACCTGTTCACTAGTCCCTATAGATTTTTATGTAGGGTACATTTCTTGTAGACAGCATCTAATTGGGTCCTCTTTTTTTTCTCAATCCAATATGGTAATATGTTTTTAATTGCTGTATTTAGACCATTCAGATTTAATGTAATTATTGCTAGAGCTGAATTTAGGCTTACCATTTTTTTACATTTCTATCACTCTCATTTTTTCTCTTTTCCTTTTTCTGCCTTGAATTTGTTTAACTCTTTTTTAAAGTATTCCATCAATTTTGTCTATTGGTTTTTTAGCTGTGTCTCTTTGTGTTACTTTTTAGTTATTGCTTTAGGGATATATAAACCAACTTTTCACAATCTATTTTAGAATTAACATCTTCCCACTGCATGTAAAATATAGAAGCCTTATGATCATCTTTACCTTCTCTATGTTCCCTTCTGTTATAGTTGTCATATGTATTACATCTATATAGCCTAAATCTCTCAGATAATGTTTTCATGTTTGCTTTTTAAAGTTATACATGTTTTAAAGTACTTTAAAAAATATTCCATTGCCTGGTCAGCATGGCTCAGTGGTGGAGCATCGACCTATGAAACAGGAGGTCATGGTTCAAATCCGTCAGGGCACATGCCCGGGTTGTGGGCTCAATCCCTGGTGTATGTGTGTGTGTGTATGGGGGGCGGGGGGGGGTGCAGGAGGCAGCCAGTTAATTATTCTCTCTTCATTGATGTTTCTATCTCTCTCTCCCTCTCACTATCTCTCTGAAATCAATAAAAATATATTTTAAAAAATATTCCATTATTTTTGCCCAGATATTTACCTTTTCTGTTGTTTTTCCTTCATTCTTGATGTTTCGAGTTTTATTCTGGTATCATTTCCCTTTTGTCTGGAGAACATTCTTTTATATTTATTTCTTTTAGAGCAGTTCTGCTGGTGGAGTTGTAATTTTTTTTCCTTCTTTTGAGTATGTCTTTATTTTGCCTTCATTCATAAAAAAATATCGTTGCTGTATTTACAATTCTGAGTTGACAGTTCAATGCATATTTTTAAAGACTTTGTTTTGTTTCCCTTACTTTTGGTCATCGTTGTTTCTGATGAAAAATCTTCAGTCATTTTCCCCTTCAAGTAAGGCATAATTTTCCTCTGGCTGCTTTCAATATTTTCCTTTATCTTTGGCTTTCAGTAATTTGATTCTGTTGCATCTGGGTGTGGTTTTCTTTGAACTTACCCTGTTTGGAGTTCTCTACATTTTTTGAACCTGTAAATTTAAGTCTTCCAATATATTTGGGAAGGCTTAGCCATAATTCTTTCATAAAACTGTTTTGGACTCTGGTGGAAACTACAAATATTTAGGCCATTAAAATAAATAAGTTGTAGAGATATACTGTAAAACATAGGGCCTATAATTAATAATACTGAATTGTTTATTTTCAAAAAAATTGCTAAGAAGATAGATCATAGGTTAAGTGATCTTACCACAACAAGAGAAAAACAGAAAAACAAAAGGGGAGGAGGAAACTTTTAGAGATGAAAAATGTTACGGCATTGACAGTGATGACAGTGGGTGTACATTCAATCTGTTTCTCATCTGTTCAAAACTCACTGGCTTCCATTGCTCTCAGATAAAACTCAACTCCTCGCATAGCCTGCAAGGCTGCGCATGCTCGAGCCCTGCTCACCACTTGCAACCCCCGTCACCGCCCCATCTCCATCCTTTTCTCCTTTCCTTTCTGCTCTGCTACCTGGGCATCACCTGTCCCACCCTAGGGCCTTTGCACATGCAATTCCACTGCCTGAAATGATTTTTTCCATCTTCTGCACCATTTAATATCCACTCATCCGTGCACTCAGCTCAGATGCCACTTCCTGGAGATCAGCCTGCCTCCGCTGGCCCCCTCTCCTGCTGAGCCCCTCACCTATAACTGAGGCTTGTGGGCTGTGTATTTATAGCACATTTTCTTACCTGAGCGGTGGAGGAAACGGGACTTCATTGTTCTCCAGCCACAGGAGGAAACGGCGCCTTCCTGGGCCCCAGCTGGCTGGCAGGGCTGTGCCGCCAAGCCCTTTCAAGCCTTTTCGACTCACGGGACGCATTTGTTTAGTGTCTGAAAAATCTCCAAAAAAAAAAAAAAAGCCCTTCACAGGTGAGGGCAGCATGGCAGGATCCTGCGGGGCCCTCAGAAGCCAGTGCAGGTGTGAATGTCGTCCTTGTCCACTTGCGCCGGTCCCTCTGCCGCAACGCTCAGCGCCAAACGCCAACGTGCCTTCATTTTGGAGCACCAGCTGCAGCTGCACCTGGCTGCAGGTCGCCATCATGCTCCAGCCCCTTCTCTTTGGTTTGCGGGACAAAGAAACTGAGGCTCAGGAGTCAGTGGATGGCCCTGGTGCGCAGTGCAGGGCCAGGAGCCGGCCTCCGCCAAGTCCTGTTTGCTGAGCCAAACCTTTCAGCAGCAGACTCAGCATCCTGCTCTCGGGTCACAGGAAACCAGAGGGGTCTAGGGCCCATCCATTTCATAGGTGAGGACGCTGGGGCTCCCTGGGGAGTTCAGCCAGCGATGAGCTGCCCTGAGCCGCTGCGTCTGTCTGCATCAGGCTTGGTGCGTCTATTGATTCTTCCTCCGCTGTAGGGGAGGAGCTCCAAAGGCCAGAGGTCTTAGGACAGAAGCAGAAATCAAGCAGAGAGAACACAGGTCCCCCTCTTCCCCCCAAATTTGCAAAGTAGCCACAGAAAGCCACCCAACGCGTGGGTGGAAAGAAGAAGTCCCGGGCATCACCAAGAGGTGATGTTACGGAGTTTGTGGAAACTTCCTAAATGGATTTGGAGGTGGGGGAAGGGGTCCTAGCAGCATGGGGCGTTTTAGTTTAGGCTAGAGGCCACCTGCGTTCTAACTGTGCTAACGGTGAATATAAACCAGGTCTCTGAGGTTTTCGATTTGGGGGGTTTTGTTTTTTCATTTTGTTTCTTGACTGAAGGATGTGCCCTGGACTGATCCCCAAAGCTTTCAGGATCACAGTGGAGACTGAAGTGAAACCAGCGCACCAGGTGGAAGTCCCTGCGGACCAGTTCTGCCCCTTGAGGGAGTGCGGGCCTTCTGGGGACTCCTGCCCTCACACGCTGGCCCCTGGCCCCCACATGCTGCCCGGAAGACACAGTGTTCCCTGGGCCATCGGGCCTGGGTTTAGGGACCTAACTGGCAGCAAGAGGATGAAGGCAGCCTCTCTCCCCTGTCCTAGCCATGTGTGCAAGGACCCCCACCTGGGCAGCATTCTCCGCGAGCTGAGCCTGGCTCAGGGTGCAGGGCTGAGACACCGCTCCCATGAGGACAGCATCTCAATGTGCGTGGGGCCTGGTACTTTTCCAAGGGCTTTTAAATGCATTATCTTGTTGGAGGCTCATTTGAGGCAAGGACTCACGGCAGACTGGAAAACAACTCATTTACTGACTCCTGAATGGGGAGGAAGCTGAATGCAGCTATGTTTTTGCTGAATCTCAAACCAAAACAACCTTTTGTTAAAGAACCAACAAATAAACAAAAATGCTAAACATCAATTCACCAAATTCACCAGGGAACATGGCCTGAAGGGAGGTTCTAGGCAGAGAATCACACAGCAAATTCAATTCAACAAACACATATTGGGGTGGCTCCTGTGGCCACAGATGTGCGCGTGGGCCAGGGAGTGACGGTGAGCAGTCCTCCCTCTCATGAACAGGGCGGGGGCGGGGGAAGCAACAGCTCAGCTGTCTCAAGGTGGGCAGTGGTGAACCCGGAATCTCAGTGACCAGGTGGCTGCCCCTCTCCTAGGGCTGTGGCCTCCTCGCTCTCCTGAGAGCCAGGTGACAAAGGTTTCCCTAAACGTGTCAGAGGCCCTCCCCTTGAGTGGCCCTGTCTTCCCAGGCCTGCACAAGCCCTGCAGGGCCTGACAAAGGCTCTCTCCTGGTGTTGCCACTTCTGCTGACACAGACCTGACCTCGGGGATGGGGTTTTGGTCTCAGCGCTGGGATTGGACTTGTGGTCCCTCTCCTGGGGTGCTGCTGACCACACTCCTCTTTTGCACAGGACGAGGCCGGCTGGCCCGCAGTGTCACAGTCTGGCTCCCGCCACTGAGGCCTGCTACCAGCCCAGCCGCCGGGCAGTAGGTGGTCCAGGAGCAGTGGCCAGGCTGTGACCAGGGCGGGGCTGCAGCCAGGACCTGGAGTGGGTGGTCTATAGTGACAAATAGGCCCCAGAGCTCGGGCTTCCTGGCGGGATATGGGAAGGCTCTCCTGGCCTGGGCTCCTCTGACCCTTCAGGCCCCCACCCCTGCTTCCCAGAACAGCTGCATCTAGGCTTCACCCTCTCACAGGAGAGTGGGGTCTCCTGTCCTCTCACCTGCTCCCCGAGTCCTGGAGAAGCCCACTAGCTCCAGCAGGAAGCCAAGAGTTCTTTCCACCCCAGGTACCTCCTTCGCAAAAGACACTGCCCTTCCCTGTCTCTCGTTCTGTCTGCTGGGTAACGCGCTCTGCTCCTGGCTCCCCGCCAACCCCAGGCGGGTGCGGGGTCGCAGACCACTCATGGGAAGTGCCCAGGCTGTGTCAGCCTGCCCCCTCTCCCACCTGGCTGAGTGCAGGGCTCTGGTCTCCTCTCCGGGAGGGGGTGCCGACCCCACACGCCTCCCCAGCTACGTAGGGCTCTACCATGTCGTGTCGGTGGTGATAGTCGTGGCCAAGTTCACCCAGAAGCACTTCCTGGGCATTGCCCACTCCCTCGTGTCTGCCCGGCTGCCTGCTGTGGGCCACAAGCGCCAGCTCCGCACACACCTTCCCGGCTCTCAAGCTGGGTGAGCGGGGGCTGGGCAGCAGAATCTCTGTGCCAACTCACATTTCTGCATCACTCGCCAGGAGCCACTGTGCCCACCTGCCCCACCGCCACCCCCTGACCCAGTGGCCTGGGCTTCGTGGGGTCAAAGGGAAGCAGCTGTCTTGTCCTAAGGTACTTTGGCCACTGGGAGAGCAAGGCCTCCGGCTCACAGCCGCCCCCCTCCCCCACCACTCCTCCTCCCCCAAAGTCTCCCTAAGGCCTGGCACATAGGCAGGCCCTGAGCCGGCAGCTGCTCCCCAGCTGGGTCCCTGGCCCTAAGGCCGCCTTTGTGCCCGCACAAGGCAGACTCAGTTCTCCTGCTCCTTGACCCTGCATCCTGCAGCCCCTGGCAGGGGGGCGGACAGTGCCAGCTGCCTGGAGCAGGAACTGGACCACCGCAGTGACCTCTGTCTCCTTCGGGGCACCTCAGAGGGAAGCTGGCGAGAGCTGCTTATTGCAAGGCCATTAAGCAAGCTAATGACCCATGAAGGCTCCTGGCCGTTCTGGCCACCCTGGTCGTGCCTCCCCTGGGCTCAGAGCCTGCTACCCACCGCCCGCCCTGTGACCGCTTTTACTGTTACTTAATGTGTCGGGCCACAGTTTTCCCACCCAGGGCCAGGTCTGGGGGCTGCTGCTTGATTCTTCCAGCTGAGCTAAGGCTGTGCACACAGCAGGCAGGTAATAAATATTTATTTCGAATCAAGCCCAGAAAGAGTCACCTTGATTTCCAAGGCTGGGGAAGGGACTTGAGTCTGGGGACACTGGGTCAGGGGTGAGGTAGTCAGTGGGCCAGGGCACAAACTGGGGACATGTGTCCTGCACCTGTGCTCTGACCTGTTCCCAGCAAAGGTGCGGGCAGCTGCTCTCTGCCAGGTGGGGCCCGAGCCCCTGATCTCTTCGCCTCGGCAGCTGTGGGATAGAGCACCAGAGGGCACAGAGGTCATGCCTGCACTCCCCCTGAACTCAGGAGAAGTTGGCTCCCAGGCGCCCTGGGCCCCTCACCTTGGGTCAGGTGGGAGGCCTCCCTGAATCCTGGCCGCTCTTGCCCTTCAGCCCTAGAATCGTGCCTTCAGTGCCAAGGAAACATACCTGACCCAGTACAACACTCAGCCTCAGGATGTGCTGGGGGGAGGGGGGGGGGGACAGCCTTCCCTGCAGACCTGGGCTCTCAGAGTCTGATGCTCACTTGGGAGAAGGTGACAGCAGGCCTTGGGATGGGTTTCTAAAACAGGGCGGGAGAAAGAGCGAGACACAGGACAAGATGTGATGTGGTGCAGCCACATTTAATTCAACCGCCAGTGAATTCTAAGGGGCCAGAGCAGACTCCTCTCGCTTTATAAAACTGAGTCCCCACGCCAGTCACCTCCATCCTTTCAAAAGGGTGGGCTGTCTGGAGACAGCAGCAGCCCAGGCCAGAGCACGGGCCTGGGCTCTCTGTGACGAGGGCCATGTGGGGAACCTGGGGCAGGACACAGGGCCATGGGCACCCATCTGGGCCCCAAGTAGAAGCAGGAGGCCTGAGGGCCAGTAAGCCAAAGGCGTTGGGCTGCCCATGCGGAGGCCCCAGGAAGCAAGTGCAGAAGCTGGTGGGAGGCCTGCCGACCACTCACACTGCCCAATGCTTCCAGCCCTTCCTCAGCCCGCCCCCCCCCACCCCAAGCTGTTGTCTAAGACACAGGAGCCATTTCCGTCACCACGACAACTAAAAACAAATATAAACCAAAGCCCATATTAAGGTATAATCTTCCAATTGCTTAAAATTAATCAGTGCAAAGTGAGGCAGAGCCCCTGCCACTGGGCCAGGCGGGCAGCCAGCCTCACACAAGCCTGCGCCTCTTGGAGTCCCTGTCCGTTTCCCTCCCCTGGGGGTCTTC